TCGCTTAACCTATTCTGCTTTTAATCTCTGTCAGACATTTTCCGTCTTATGATATGATTGTTCCCAGATAATAAGTATTTAAAATAGTCGAGGCCCGTTTTTACGCCAATGATAGGCATTTGACATTAAATTCCTATTTGTGGAGACCAACGGCCCTCTATGTGTGTTATGGTCAACGTCACAGGGTCGCATTTACTTCTCATAAATTATGGACCATTTTAGGTTGGATAGAACTGGAAGGGAAGGTCATTACTGAAAATTACTTAAATTGATGCCGTCCTTTTACCGTACCTGTGTTGGCTCGTAGCTATAATTAGTTGGAGTGATGAGTCAGAAAATGTTATTCATTGCTTTAACGAATATTTGTGAACTGAAACAAACTTCAACTGTTTTAAGTGCACGCAGAGCATTACCGCCCTCCCCTTTTTTTTCCCTATACCCCCCCCCCTCCCCCCTTCCTTTCCACCCAACTTCCCTCGAGTCTCGAGCAGTACCAAGTTCCTGAAGACACTTCCTGTTGTATCATTTTTAACAGGCACGGGCTTTCAGTATTTTTCATTTTACTTGTTACCTCCAGAGAGATTACCTTTGCCTTGCGCAGTTGCAATACACGCCCGATAGGAAAAGGAAAGGTTGGGGGTGGGGGAATAGTCCAGCGAGCCTATCTGCCTACTCCTTTCTAAACAGGATTACATATATGTGCCACATATCCATGTGGATGGTACCACTAGAGACACCTGGATTGATGCGACCCATTCCACACGAAGAAGATCTGTTCACACTGTCTGGGCATGATACGCAAATCCGATACTCAGGCAACATGTATAACTACAATTTTCTCCGTCCTTTAAAACGCCGCAGTTACTGCCTTAACCTCCATTCTCATGGTGGATGTGGTAATGCCATATGCCAAAACCAATCAGTCAACCTTCACCCCCTTGCTTTTGCAATAAATTCGCATCCATTTGTCTATACATCAACTTTCTGGGAGGTTAACCCGGTCAAAAAACGCTCGATGAAGTTGGATGTGTCGGATAAAAAACGCAAATATCGCAGCTCTGCTGTAAACCGGCACAATTCATAATAACGTATTTCGGACAAACGAAAAAAAAAATTGTTACAATCCACCCTTTACCTGACGTGCAGCTTCTTATCTCTGACATGTGTTATTGACACATCAGCCAAACACCGTCGCTGGAAGAGTATATGGTGCAGTTCCACAAACTTATTTTGTAACATTTTCATAACTCTGGATAGCAACTGGCATAAGGCTTGTGAATAATATAATTTATTATTAGTATTCCCCAAAAAAAAAAAAAAAAAAAAATACAACGTGATAACATGGGGAAAGCAGCTTCATTATGTTGGATGTTTATTATAATAATAGGCGAGGAAAGGGGGGAGGGGTCAGCGGGGGTTGCAGTTCGCCATTGCTCCTAAGCCACAGACGGCAAATACTTGTATGAGTCAAGCCATTGACCAGACAGTGTGGTCTTTGCTTTCAGTTCCCACAAGTGGCTCCTCAACAAACACTACAGAGAACATGACCATGACAATAGTGTTAACAGTCAACAAATACGAAAACAATTTAGTCGTCGTTTGCTTCGTGGACACCCCAGACTTCATTCGGGATTCTGATGTTCTTTATTGCAATGACTCTGACACCCAACTGTGTGTTCAGTCAAAACCTCTTCAGATATGTAAGTGACATAAACAAGTGTAGTGTATGAGGACTTTGTTCAGGAAGCGGTTGTCACTCTGACAGTTGTTGTTTGTTAACATTTGTTTCTTATTGTCTGTCGGCGTGTGTAACTTAGGCGTTGGGAACGCGCTTCGAAATACCTGGGTGCTGGGTTCGATCCCAGCTGCGGACGGTTTGTCCTGCGTTGGTTTCGATAGTGGGACCGAGAGCTGACCTTTCAGGTAGAAATGGCAAACTACTGAAAGTAAAATTTACCAAGAAAATCATAACAGCCAAAAAAACGCTTGGGTTAATTGTGCAACGTCCTGTAAAAAATACGCAACTAATTTTGTTTTCTTGAAGTTTCTTGGCTTTTCAACATATATCCGTCAGATTCTTACATATATCCGTCAGATTCTTACGTATATCCGTCAGATTCTTACATACATCCGTCATTCTTACATATATCCATCAAATTCTTACATATATCCATCAAATTCTTACATATATCCGTCATTCTTACATATATCCATCAGATTCTTACATATATCTGTCAGATTCTTACATATATCCGTCATTCTTACATATATCCATCAGATTCGTACATATATCCGTCAGATTCTTACATATATCCGCCAGATTCTTACATATATCCATCAGATTCTTACATATATCCGTCAGATTCTTACATATATCCGTCATTCTTACATATATCCATCAGCTTCTTACATATATCCGTCAGATTCTTACATATATCCGTCAGATTCTTACATATATCCGTCAGATTCTTACATATATCCTGAAAGTCTCTGTTTATGGATAAGTAAGGTGTCGTTACTCCCCCAAAACAACGTCAAATGTCCGATGGATGTGTATGTGTGTGTGCGTGCGTGCATATGTGTGTGTGTGTGTGTACTTGCGTGTGTGTTTACAGTTAAAGTGAAGCACATGTGAAGCAAACAGAACTGCAAGACTTATTAAGAAAAGGCTGGACAGAAAGGCGACTGCAGGAGATCCCCTCCCTGGCACAACGCTCATTCCCTGTGCTCACTGTTCAAGAACTTTTCGGGCCCGCATCGGCCTCATCAGTCATCTTCGTACTCACACTTGATGAAATGAGTGGTCATCATCATCCTGATGGACAACACACACACAGTTAAAGTGTTTGTTGTTTACTTAATGTCTTAAAGACGATGGTTTCTTTACACTAGAACAGCCTGGAACCAAAGGGTGCCCCTGCATTGCCTTTTGTGTTTGAAACATCACTACTATAGTTTTAGACACTCGTTAGGTGATGTGGTCAACATCACACTGACCGCCTTTATTTCCCATGGCTTTACCTAGTACATATTTAAGGTTAAGTCGACCTGGGAGCCAGTGCCGGTGTTTTTAAATGACACAGATTCGACTCGATGACGATTTAAACCCGCCACCTTTGGGTCTGCAAGGTGGCGTCTAGAGGCCACACCTCAACGCTTCTGTAACACTACGACTGCCTTTTCACAGCCCGCGATTCCCAACAGAATGTACCTGTGCATGCGCTAACACCTTTTCATCTCATGACAAAAAGCTATCAGGAATCTTCCTATACGACATGCACTTATCATCTACACTGTCGATAATCTACTCTCGGAATGACCGTTCCCTTTCCAACGAAGTCGAAGTGCATCGGCCTAAGAGGCAAGGAACCATCAGTCTGAATGTAAAGACCCTAGATCTGTAAAACGGACGTGCACGCCCAATCGAGTTCTGGAAAAACTATAGTCCAGAAGTGGATGAACAACCAAAACTTTCCGCCAGAGTTTACAGGCGGTGAACGCAAAGAAGACGAAAAAAACTATATGAAATGAAAAGGTATTTGATGGCTGATGTTTTCAACGTCACATCGACCGCCTTTGCTTGCAATAACATTGCCAGATAACAAATTGAGTTGAGACTGGCTCCGCCTGACATCCCTAGTCAGTTCGGAGAAAAAAACAATCACTGCCAGAACGGATTTGAACGGGCTGTTGAATTGCCTTGTGTGCGTGTGTTTTCTTTTTGTGCATTATGTCTATGTATGTGTATGTTATGTTTGTTTATGTATGTTGATGCATGTGTGTATGTATTACATATGTCTGTAAATGAGTGTGAATGTATGAGAACGTAGGAGTATGTGTACGTGTGTACGAGTGTTTACACATTATGTGTGTATGCATTTTTCTATAATTTATATTTCTTTATTATATCCATAACATGCATTATTGATAACAAGAATTGGTACTCTGAAAAATGAGTGCTTAGAAGGGCCGAATGTCAGACGGCCTGCGTGCCCAATTTGTAACCCTTTGAAAATAAAGTTTGTTCGTTCGTTCGTTCGTTTTCCTTACGGTCGTGTTGGTAGATGCATCTATCTACAGCCTTCTGTCTCATGTACGTTGACATGTCTGACAGATTTTTGTTTTCCATGCCATTTTATCAAACCATCCAACATCGTTTCTCTCCCTCTGTTTTTTTTTCCCCTTCAACGTTCTCACCGTAACGTTATACTTTAGTTTTCTCCTTCTTATAACATGATAAAAGAATGTAGATTATCTCTTCCTAATGTGGATCATCAGAGTTTGGTTTTTCACGAGATAATTTCTTTCAAGACAGCATAACTCCTTCTGTCTGTTTATGGATTTCTCCTCATTGGTCTAAAGCACCACACCCTCCCAGAAATAGTGAGGGTTGAACACTTTGGGGGCAGTAGATCCACATCACTCGCCAGAATGGTAAGACTTGGGAGTTTAGAACGGCCTAGAGTCACATACCAAGCACATCCAAGGGCATGTTAATAAACATAGAACCGATACTTTTAGCCATCGGACGCCGAGGGGAGCATCTGAGCATGGTGGACAGGTCCGGAGGGCGACACTGGTAACCCAACTAACCAAACTAAGTAACTAAATTAACTAACTGACTGACTGACTGACAGTTTAACTAGCTGTTTAACTAAAAAAATCTCCCTCACCAATTCATTCATTTACACTCTGACTGACTAACTGACTGATTGAATGACTGACTGACTCTCTAACTAATGAACTAATTAACTAACTGACTGATTGAATGACTAACTGACTCTCTAACTAATGAACTAATTAACTAACTGACTGACTGTCCGCAAGTAACATATCGCTGAGACCCTGTTAGAGCATTTGTTTCGTTATACGGAGCCGGCATATTTTTAATAGAACTGAGCCCCGTAAGGTTATTTGTGGATATTTTATGGCCGCTATAATATTATTACGCCGTTCGGAGGAGAGCCAGATACACAGTAAACTCCGCCTTCTCTCCCCAGACATGCCACATCTAAGCAAGGCCAGCCCTGTCCCAGTCATAGTGGCCTCTCTTGCCATTGCACTGACAATGGTGCTACTACTGTCCTATCTGTGCTTCCGGTGCTGCCCCACCGGACGTGAGTAGTTCTCAGTGTCAGGCCGTGTGTGTGTGTGTCTTCTGGGAGTTGTGTAGTTGTAGAGTTAAAACTATATTATTAAACAAATCGAGAATATTGTTACAGATGCAATGTTAAACTGTGTTACCTGTACAGGTTGGTGTGATGTCTGAGTTTGAATCTTTGTTCCCTGTATATATCTATGAAATGTCTGAGTTTGAATCTTTGTTCCGTGTACTTTTCTATGAAATGTCTGAGTTGGAGTTATCAACGTTGTTACCTGTACATATCCATGTAATGTCTCAGTTAGAGCGTTGAACTTTGTCCCCCTACAGGTTTAGGAAATATCTGAAGATAATTGTTAAACTTTGTTTCCTGTATATATCAATAAAGTATACGAGAACGAGTGTTAAACTCAATTTTGGGTACACGTCAACAAAATAGTTTTATCAAGTTTGGGAAGAACGCTGTTAAGAATCTTTTGTCTGCATACAAGTCAGGGACTTCGTTAGCATACAACTCAAGGACTTCGTTAGCATACAAGTCAGGGACTTCGTTAGCATACAAGTCAGGGACTTCGTTAGCATACAAGTCAGGGACTTCGTTAGCATACAAGTCAAGGACTTCGTTAGCATACAAGGCAGGGACTTCGTTAGCATACAAGTCAAGGACTTCGTTAGCATACAAGTCAGGGACTTCGTTAGCATACAAGTCAGGGACTCCGTTACCATACAAGTCAGGCTTCGTTGAAAGTGAACTGTTAACAATTGATTACTGAACACTCTATAAAATTATTTTGTTTAATCTGGAGAGTGAAATCTTATTTGCATCAAAGTCCAGAAAATAGTATGAGCAGAGTGTTGCTACAATTGTCTATAGATTTACTTCAGCTGGAGAGTTAAACATTATCTTCTGTACTTCTATAGAGGTCATAAATCAGACAAGAAGGGACAATGTTACGAATTCCAGGACTGGAGAAAAAGTTAAAATAAGACCGTGGTCCGAAATATATTAGGAGACAAAGAATGACATGGTCCGGCCATCTTGTGAGAGTTCAGCCAAACAAAACTGCATATGAGTCGTTTTGCAACACAGTATCGGGCAGGAAGACAAGGAGAAGATGGAGAAACAGATGGATAGACGGTGTAGCTGACACTAGTAAACAAATGAAAAAAGTCCATCACTCAAGTCCGCCGATACGACGACACAAATACCCCCCCCCCCAAAAAAAAAAAAAAAAAAAACTATGATACTGGGCTTCAACCTAGTTATTAGTAAGACGCCAAAATCAATAAACGTATAAATAATAAAAGATACACATAAAATATTTCTGTCACGTTGACAGGTAGAACATATTTTCAAAACCACATTATAGGAAAATGTAGGAAAGCGAGTAAAGAGTAGACAACTATACATGTGGGAGCACACATTGGAGAAATGAGCCAACATCAGTGACACCAAATGTTTAGCCAGGTTGTGAGACCAAACACACTGGAGATCTTTTACAGCCATCCTTAAGTGCGGAGATGGCACCTTATTGCTTGATAATTGCATTGTTTGTCCCGGTTGTTACGTGTATGTATGTATGTTTGTATGAATGTATGTGTGTACGTATATATGTGTGTATGTGTGTACTATTTATGTGTTCATTTTGCATAAAGCACGGTGAAGATCAAAACCTGTTCTTGAATTTACAGAAAACGATAATAATGTCCAGAGACAAAAACTGGCGGTCTCCTAAAAAATAACAATAAATGAATAAAATGAAAATGTCACCACTTTTGACTGTCTAGGCTCTATAATAAAAAGCAATGGCAAATATTTGACTGAATTTAAAAGGAGGATGGCCATATCAATACAAAGATTAAATAGCCTTACAAGTCTATGGTTAAGCACCAGCAAGGAAATCAAACGTTTAATTTTGAGAGCATGCATCTTCCTTGTAGCAACATACGGATGTAAGTCTTGGACTATCTCCCAGTCCTTAAGGAAGACAACGGGGGCTTTTGAGTAAAATGCTATAGAAATACTCTCAGAAGAGAAAGAAGATGAGAAATATTGACATTTTAAGATCAAGAAACATCAAGAATGATTGGCTAATAATTAGCATCTTATCTCACAAACTGAAATATTGTGGTCATATGAAGCGCCACGACGGATTGGAAAATTATAGCAGAAGGCATGGTACCAGGAAGGAGGGGCAGGGGCCGAGCAACACGAAGATGGACACATGATATAAGTAAGTTCTTGAATATGAAAGTACATGCGACAGGAGTGCTGGTGAGAGACCCAGTTCCTTTCAGGTGAATTGTGATGAGAGCGACGTTCTGCAAAGGATCTGCTTTATGACGATGCTGACTTATTACGCATGTATGTACGTAGAACAGTGGTTCTTAAGCTTCCTAATGCCTTGACCCTTTAATGCAGTTCCCCATGGTTAAGTGACCCCCAACATTAAAAAAAAAATTTCGTTGCTACTTCATAACTTCATTTAATGTGTGGTTTTTATGGTCTTATGTGACCCCTGTGGAAGGATCGTTCGACTCACAGAAGAGTCGTCACCATCAGATTGAGAACCGTTGATGTAGAGTAATGATCCCCGTTTACTCCATGAAGTGCACTAGCCATATTCTGCCTGTGTTACATTTTGTTCTGCCTGGAGAGACAAATTATGTTATCAAAACCCGTGCAACGACGTTGAGCCTTCTTTAAATCTGTTATGTTTGCCCTTTCAGATAACAACAAGCCCAAGAAATCTGAAGAGTAAGTTGAAGAAAATTAGACGATATTAACCATATAACGAATAATATGAATGTCAAAATGGATGATACATCGTGTGATGTGTTAATCTTCTTCTTCTTCTTCTTCTTCTTCTTCTTCTTCTTCTTCTTCTTCTTCTTCTTCTTCTTCTTCTTCTTCTTCTTCTTCTTCTTCTTCTTCTTTTTCTTCTTCTTCTTCTTCTTCTTCATCTTCTTCTTCTTCTTCTTCTTCTTCTTCTTCTTCTTCTTCTTTTTCTTCTTCTTCTTCTTCTTCTTCTCCTTCTTCTTCTTCTTCTTCTTCTTCTTCTTCTTCTTCTTCTTCTTCTTCTTCTTCTTCTTCTTCTTCTTCTTCTTCTTCTTCTTCTTCTTCTCTTCTTCTTCTTCTTCTTCTTCTTCTTCTACTTCTTCATCTTCTTTCTTCTTTTTCTTCTTCTTTCTTCTTCTTCTTCTTCTTCTTCTTCTTCTCTTCTTCTTCTTCTTCTTCTTCTTCTTCTTCTTCTTCTTCTTCTTCTTCTTCTTCTTCTTCTTCTTCTTCTTCTTCTTCTTCTTCTTCTTCTTCTTCTTCTTCTTCTTCTTCTTCTTCTTCTTCTTCTTCTTCTTCTTCTTCTTCTACTTCTTCATCTTCTTCTTCTTCTTCTTTTCTTCTTCTTCTTCTTCTTCTTCTTCTCTTCTTCTTCTTCTTCTTTCTTCTTCTTCTTCTTCTTCTTCTTCTTCTTCTTCTTCTTCTTCTTCTTCTTCTTCTTCTTCTTCTTTTTCTTCTTCTTCTTCTTCTTCTTCTTCTTCTTCTTCTTCTTCTTCTTCTTCTTCTTCTTCTTCTTCTTCTTCTTCTTCTTCTTCTTCTTCTTCTTCTTCTTCTTCTTTTCTTCTTCTTCATCTTCTTCTTCTTTTTCTTCTTCTTCTTCTTCTTCTTCTTCTTCTTCTTCTTCTTCTTCTTCTTCTTCTTCTTCTTCTTCTTCTTCTTCTTCTTCTTCTTCTTCTTCTTCTTCTTCTTCTTCTTCTTCTTCTTCTTCTTCTTCTTCTTCTTCTTCTTCTTCTTCTTCTTCTTCTTCTTCTTCTTCTTCTTCTTCTACTTCTTCTTCTTCTTCTCTTTTTCTTCTTCTTCTTCTTCTTCTTCTTCTTCTTCTTCTTCTTCTTCTTCTTCTTCTTCTTCTTCTTCTTCTTCTTCTTCTTCTTCTTCTTCTTCTTCTTCTTCTTCTTCTTCTTCTTCTTCTTCTTCTTCTTCTTCTTCTTCTTCTTCTTCTTCTTCTTCTTCTTCTTCTTCTTCTTCTTCTTCTTCTTCTGCTTCTTCTTCTTCTTCTTCTTCTTTTTCTGCTTCTTCTGTCGTCTCACTGAAACCAGGTTGTAGCCAGTGTCATGGTTTCGTCATCTCACTGATACCAGGTTGTAGCCAGTGTCATGGTTTTGTCGTCTCACTGATACCAGGTTGTAGCCAGTGTCATGGTTTTGTCGTCTCACTGATACCAGGTTGTAGCCAGTGTCATGGTTTCGTCATCTCACTGATACCAGGTTGTAGCCAGTGTCATGGTTTCGTCGTCTCACTGATACCAGGTTGTAGCCAGTGTCATGGTTTCGTCATCTCACTGATACCAGGTTGTAGCCAGTGTCATGGTTTTGTCGTCTCACTGATACCAGGTTGTAGCCAGTGTCATGGTTTTGTCGTCTCACTGATACCAGGTTGTAGCCAGTGTCATGGTTTCGTCATCTCACTGATCCCAGGTCGTAGCCCAATGTCATGGTTTTGTCGTCTCACTGATACCAGGTTGTAGCCAGTGTCATGGTTTTGTCGTCTCACTGATACCAGACTGTAGCCCCGTGTCGTGATTTTATCGTCTTACTGATACCAGGTTGTAGCCAGTGTCATGGTTTTGTCGTCTCACTGATACCAGGTTGTAGCCAGTGTCATGGTTTTGTCGTCTCACTGATACCAGACTGTAGCCCCGTGTCGTGATTTTATCGTCTCACTGATACCAGGTTGTAGCCCAATGTCATGGTTTTCTATATTTGTCTTGCATTTCTCGGGTGGCTTGTCTAATTGATTTATTCACCTTTGTGTGTGTGTGTGTGTAAAGGTTTCAGCTACACCATTTACCCATCTCTTTCTTGGTCTTCCTCTTGCCTTCCTCCTAGAAGTTATGTTGTAAAAAGTTTCAGATGCAGTCTGGTCTAGTTGCATTCTTACTAGATGACTAAACCTTTTCATCGTTTGTCTCTCCTTGTAATCCAGATATGGTCTTATTCCAACTTTCTCTCTAATGCTGGTATTCGTAACCCTGTCTCTTCTTGTGTTGTTAGGGACCATGCAGAGACAACGCATTTAACATGTAGTTATTTTCTGTTATAGTGTCCATGTTTCGACTGAAAACATAGAGTAGGGATACAGATCCTGATTATCATTTGCTGTTTTACTAGAAGGGAGATATTTGGGTGTCTAAACAGTGGGGCTAACTGCTAGGTGACAGCATTTGCCTTCTGTAATCTGGCTTCTATCTCTCTATTGAGTCTGCCATCTTCCTTAAATATGCTTTTTAGATATCTGAATTATTGTACTTGCTTGACTGTAGCAACGTTAACATCAACGTTCATGATATGATGTTTCCTGCCTATCCTCATTACCTTCGTTTTCGCGGTCTTTATTCTCGTATCATAGTTTGATATACGGAGCCAAAAAAAGAGTTGTAAATTATGTTCTTTGTGGTGTATAAGATATCGATCGTCAGCAAAAAAGAGGTTAATTTGTTTCTTCAGTGTCTGTTATTTGCCTTCTGTAGTATTCTGTTCATATGAGTAATGAATCGCAATGTGGAGAGGACACATCCCTGTCTGACACCTGATGAGATGGGAAACCAGTCTGTCATTCCTTCTGTTGTTCTTCCTGTGCACTTACTATTTTGGTAAAGAGCCATGATGTTATCCAACAGTCGAGCTTGTATACCATATTCTTGTATAATTTTCTTTTGTTTGCATCTGTTGACTCGACGGAACGCCTTCTCGTAATCTATAAGGTGTTCTAATATTCTAAAGACTGCTCGCACATCAGTCTTGAAGAAAATATTGCATCTGTACAGCTTTTTCCTTGCCTAAAACCAAACTGTCTCTTTTTTTAAAACTGGGGCTGTAGTACTGATCAAGCTCTAAGTTCCAATATTTTTGTTAACATCTTTCCAGTATAGATCATGATAGAAATGTCCCTGTATGTTTCACAGTCTATTTTCTCTTTTATTTTTCTAAACGGGGACAATGATTGATCTGTGTCAGTCACCTCAAACTTCCAGTGTCTCCCAAGCTATGTTAAAGACGATGATCAAACAAGCTGTCGCTGTTGTGTTTATACTGTCCGTATTATTAGATGTCATGGAAAAGGTGGTATATAAGCAAGTTTCAATAGATACTTAGAAATAAGTTACAGTGCTATTTACAAGTGCTATTCTAAAGTCAACATCAGAGCGGCTAGTAAAAATTAAAAAATAATTTCCATTGCGACACCGTTTATTGCTTGCATCATTCAGTAGCTTTTAACTCACTGCACACGAACATACTGTCGTATTGATTTAGTGGTTTACGAACCGCTAACGAATAAACATGAACAGCATGGAAAATCATCATACTCCAGAAATCTGTAGGAATAGTCATGGGGGGAAAGCGTGCCAGAACGCTGACCAAAACATTTGAGTCAGTTGGTCTATTCCATGCTACACTAGATAGTACTGACCGATGTAAGATACACAGTACAATGCTGCAGTGTTTGCCCACGACACACACGAGCTTCCACGAGAGAAGGGGAAACGGCTGCAAAAGATATTTACTAAGAAGATGTATAGGACAGGTTGATATGCACATAGAAACAAAATGATTCAACTGGATCGCAGCAGCGCTTTCAAGAAATCACCATTGTGGACGGTGTTCTTCAATATGTACACAGCAGGAGTCACCTGTGCACAGATCGTAGGCCTAGGCACAACAATGTCGTATGCAGATTATATCCTTATGAACCGTCGAGGTAGAAGCACGCACGAAATTACATGAACTAGACAGACTGGGATGTGGAATTCATAATAGGATTCGATTTCTTTAAGCAGAAGGTCAAAATGCTTAGCACTGACTTCCCTTATGCGCTACTTGAATAATATTTGGGGGGGGGGGGGTAGGAGGACATCGAACAAATCTGATTAGATCGGCGTCTAGTGAAATAAATGGCTACTAAATGACGCAAGCAATGAATGGTGTCGCTATGGCATACGTTAAAATGTGTGTGTGTGTGTATATATATATATATATATATATATATATATATATATATATATATATATATATATATATATATATATCTTAATTTTCCGGTGTCGTTAGCTCTAAACTCGGAAACTACTGAACCGATTGCTTTCAAATTTTCAAACAACGTTGCCTCTGACTCAAAGAATTTTTTGTTGTCATAACATCGCATAAACCTCGAACAACGTAGCTCCAGCAACGGTCAAATCATTATTTGTTTCGTTGCCCGCGCGGATTTAATTTTAATAAATCGGCCAAATTCGACTGCTGAGCAGGGCTGCCAATAGATGCCTTTTCCCCCATGAACCAGATATTTGAATGATGCCTTGGGTTCAAATTTTGCTGCGTTGTTTACTTTGTTGTTTTCATATTTTTTATATACCATTACATACCTACATATCTGTGGGTACATTGTTCCTGTCCATAATATTATTTTTATACCATTTTTCAATCTTAGCTTTTTTTTTTTTTTTTTGGTCGTGTCCCTTTCATTTTGCTTACGCTTTTGCTTGGGTTATTTAGATCACCTTAGCTTGGCAGCCCTGTTGTTGACGATCTCACACATCTTCGTCAATCTGTCGTCAATTCTCTCACATTGTCGAACAACGTTGCATTCAGATACGCGTGAATTGTTATAAAGCAGTGTCGCAGCAAGCACGAGTGAAGTAGCTGTCATTTGGTGAGTATACTGTGTGTGTCCCAAATTTTTTGTTCTATGTTGTTTTGCCGCGGAATTCAACTGTCTTGCTGCGTTCGTTATGCACACGACAGGTTCCTGAGTATTTGGACATCCATATCGTGACTGTACTGTATTTGTTTAATTGTCTAGCATTTCGCTGTTGTTTTCTGTTACATTACCTATACACTTGAGCTGTTTCTATTGCTCTGCATATGATTGGACATATTTCTTTAATATTCTGCAGTGTCTATTGTTTTATCTATGTTTCTTACGTCATACTTCTCCCTTTTGTGATTGTACCATCTTGCAATTTTATATTTTCTTTTTCTCTTCCTTTTCAGTGGCATCACTCTGCTGGTGTTTGTCTATACAATGCCTCCCATCATGACTTTTCTGTATTTGTTTACTTTTCTAGCCTTTCGCTGTTGTTTTCTCTTACATTGCCTATACACTTTTGCTGTTTCTGTTGCTCTGCTCTACATATTGCTGTGCATATGATTGGACATATTTCTTTAATATTCTGCATTGTATACTATTTCATCTTTGTCTCTTACTTCATGCTTCTCCCTTTTGTACCATCTTGCACTTTTATATTTTGTCTCTCTTGGTTTTCACTGTTGTTTTCTCTTACATTGCATGTGCACTTCAGCTGTTTCTATTGCTCTGCATATGATTGGACATGTGTCTTTAATATTCTGCATTGACTATTATTTGATCTTTGTTTCTAACGTCATGCTTCTCCCTTTTGTGCCATCTTGCAATTTTATATTTTCTGTCTTTCTTTTTTTTTCAGTGCCATCAATCTGCTGTTGTTCGTCTCTACAATGCCTCGCATAAAATCTAACTTAGGTCATCGTACTCACCAAGCGGGGGCAATGCGACAAGTACGTGCAAATCAAACCGAGGAGGAGCGCGCCGCAACGAATGATGGAGTCAGACGAAGACGTGCTCAGATACGTGCCCAGTCATCTGCACAGCAACTTGGAGTCACAGTTGAGGATGCACGCCTGCTTGCACAGCCATCACATTCTGCAGCTTCATATCTGCTTCCTTCTCAACAGACTCAATACCACAGGCTGACAGTGGCTGACACACGTCAACGCCTGGCAGCAGACCAGCATCAACAACAGTTCCATGCTAAGCAATCAGGCATTTACAATCATCTTGCATTCCGATACTTGCCTGTGTCTTCATTGCAAGGAAAGTTAAACTCCCTCAAATTGCAGAGCCACCAGAGCCTTTAACTACTTTGCTTGCCGGACATACCGCCGAATCAAAGCATTTCCTATCTAACATCAGGAAGTACAACTCATGCTTCCAAATGACGTCATTCGGCGCTGAGATTGTTTGAAGCTCCTTTTAAGCTAACTTTCAAAGATAAAGGACAGATCTATCATACAGCCAGCTCCCTGCTTC